ACGCCTTGCTGACTTGTGAGTGTCAACTAGCACGAAACCTAGGTCCAAGGCTTCCTGTGGCCGATTGCCCCCAACCTTCTAATACCTCTACTTTTTTGTCCGGAGTTAACGAATTAGACACAAAAGTTCAGTTAGAAATTCGCATGACTCAAATACATGACTTGCGTCCAACGTCTAGCGAAGACGTTGAACATATTAAATCTGCAATACTTCATTGTTATTACCAGTACCATAGAACGCAAGGCAGACAACGACAAATGTCATCAAAAGAACACAAAAACAACTTAATGAATTGCTGAACAACAAAAACATAATACTGATTCGTCCAGACAAACTATCACGTATTGTTATTCTTAATCGTGATGACTATGTCAATAAATTATGTACCATCTGGAGTGATGAAGAAAAATTTCAAAAATCACCTGACCAAAAAGAACAAGACGGAGAATATTGAGAAGGAATTATCAAAAAGTTTGATGAAATTGAAGCAGGAATGCATTATTACTCCAAATATGTATGAACAGCTTAAACCATCTAGTTCAACTATCCCTCGTTTATATGCTCTTCCAAAGGTGCACAAAGATGACGACCCTCTGCGACCTGTATTGGATATGCTGAACTCGCCGTATCACTCTATCGCTAAATGGCTTGCGGAAATTCTGGAGCCAGCTAGATTAAATCTATGTAAACATATTCTTTCCGACGTTTTTGACTTTGTCAGTTGTGTTGATGAAATTAATGTGGCCGGTAAGCATATGATTTCGTTAGATGTTTGTTCATTGTTCACAAATGTACCACTATCTGAATATTTTAAACAACTATTATTGAGATGCACACTGAATGTGTAATTTGCATTTAATGAAGTTATCTACAATCAAAGGGATGGAGTCGCCATGGGGTCTCCTTTAGGACTGCTCTTAGCGGACGTCTTCATGGTAAGCTTAGAGAATGGCCCACTAAAGGAAATCATCGATAGTTTGTTTATGTACAAAAGATATATAGATGATACTTTCATTGTCTGTGAGGAAAACCCTTCAACTGCCGAACTTCTTGGAATATTTAACGGTTTTCACCCATCTTTCCTTTTCACGGTCAAAGGAGAGTCGAATTCCTCGTTTCACTTCCTTGACGTTAAGCTAGATAGAAAAGAGAATGGAACGCTGTTAAGGTCGATTTACCGAAAATCAACATTCACTGGGAAGTACACTACCTTCAACAGTTGGGTACCGTTAGAGAGAAAGAGAAATCTTATTCATTTCTTATGCTCCAGAATTCGTAAAATCTGCTCTACAGGGACAATTGATAGTGAACTAGACAACATTTGATCAAATCTCATTAACAATGGATATCCAACAAGGATTATGGAAAGTAACATCAAGAAAGAATCCGCCCCTAGACAAATCACAGTGCCAAAGAAAAAAATGTTTATGAGTCTTATATTCAAAGGTGACACCATTTCTGAATTGATTAAAAATCGTTTATCCAAATGTATTAAACACACTTTTCCTGCAGCTGACTTGCAACTAGTTTTTACCCGCCGAAATATGATTAGACAATGCGTCAAGGATAGATTACCGCTTATGTCCACATCTATGTGCATTTAGTCTTCTACCTGTTCCTGTGGAGCTGATTATATTGGACGTTGTAAGCGTACTCTCCGAAAACGTGTAACTGAACACTTTCCGGTTTGGTTAATGAAAGGCGAACGTAGAATTGCGAAATCGTCTATTTGTGATCACATGAGTTCCTTCAAGTTTGCAGATACGCCTTGCTGACTGGTGAGTGCCAACTAGAACGAAACTTAGGTCAGATAAGGCTTCTTGTCGATTGCCCCTAACTATTTCAGATAAAATGTATATAAATAATGAAAACTGAAGTAAAAGCTCAGGATTTTCAACAGGTGAATAGCGAAAGCTTCACGAATCAACTGTCCAACTCAGGTATCATAACAACACTAAATGTGAATGAAATATGAATAAATCAGAATGCAGTTATTCCATACCTCTGGGTACCTGATACTCACTGGTGATGCAGATAAACGCAGTTGAGGAGGGTTCAACACAGGACGCAAACTCGTGTTCTGAATTCCATTGGTGGGCAATATCAACCAAATCGGTTGATCTGAAGCATTAATTTTGATAAACGAACTGTTGTTCTCTAGTAGCGAGAAATTAATCTTCTGTTGGCTTGTTTTTCACAACTGCATAATTAGTTTTTCCTAATAGAGGTAATATGATCTTTTAAAATTGAGCTGCATTTCAATCGGACGCCTGCATCGCATAACTAACCATATTTGTAATGTATTAAATTTAATTTAAACAAGATAGCATCATTTCTTCGTTACATTGTTTCAGTTTCGTTTGTACAGATAATTTTTCAATATATACATAGTTTTGCCTTTAAACTATACGAAATTGTTGTACACTATCAGTTACACAATAAAATTCTATAAATATATAGAGCAGGATTTACTTTGGTGAAATTCATTCACATGTACAATGAAGATTGGTGTAATTACAGCGTTCCTAGTTGCCATTATTATTTCTCTTATCTCTTACAGTCAGAGTGAACGTATTTGTAAAAGGCCGATAACAAAACACTTGGTGAGTTGTAATCTTTGTTCTGCTTTGCCTGCGATTTCTGTCCCCACCTGGTCTATCCTCTATTCAACCTCTTGTCTCTTTGCTTTTTTCCATTGTCATAGAGACATGCCGTTCTGTCTTCGACATTGAGTAAACGAAGCTATACGGAAACTGGTTTGAAATTCGAAGTTGTCTACTCTCAGAATGTCATCTCCTGGAATCGTTACAACAAATTTAAGGTAATAATTTAGTTGTTTTATTTAGTTAATTAAAAGTTGTTTTTAAAAAATGAATTTTGAAGTCTTACAAATTATTACCAACTGAAACCTGAAGAGTCAATAGAAACTTTATCATCTTCGACAACGTCGATCGATTATCCCGTAAAATTAAAAACCAAATTTTACAAAAAAACACAACAGTAAACAGAGAAAGTTAGAAGAAGTCTTCAAAAACTAAACAGCTACACATTGCGAATCAGCAGAAGTTGGAATTTGCAGGTCATAGAACCGGATTCTAGTGGCTAAATTATCTGTCTTTAAGCTCGCCTCATAACAAGAAGTTCTTGGGATTGAACCTGGGGGGTCGGTACTGATGAAAAGTCCAGAACTACGACGAAATGGCTGTCCAGGACTCTGTGGCTTTTCAGTGGCTTCCTAACTGACTTCAGCCCCTGATCAAACCTGTATATGGCTGAGAGTTACGAATGATACCATATATATACATTACGATTACAAGACTAACGTTAATGACATTCAGATGTCCTCTACTCTAGGGAGCATCGGTGGTTCGATAGCAGAATTCCGCCAGTCTTGCGGAAGGTATAGGTTCAATTCCTGGTTAACAAGCCTACAACAGTGTCTTCTTGGAAAAATAGAAGCCTTAAACTTTAAGTTCTTTGCTACAATGGAGACGCAATTTGATTTGAGTTTGTTTTATACATTTAGCCCCTACAATTTAAGACACTATTAAGATTCCTTCTGTTGCTGTTAGTTAAAAGCTAATTTTAGCATAACAGCCGGAATACCACTTTCACTAACTTCGCCTAAAGTTATCACACTAGAGAGTGAAGTTTGCTATTATTATCCCTAGGAACAGCATCGCTCTTTGCGTTCCAGGTACATGTAGCCAGATGGTGAATTCAAAATATAACAAAATGCAATGACAGACTCGGGCCTGTTTAAATCATTGAGTTATCTAATTTTCCATCAGTCAAAATGTATCTTGTTTACTCTATTTCACATTGTTTTAATTAGTTAATTATGATTATTCTTTCTTTTGGGTTCCGAGTGTAATATAAGGCTTAAAAAGCACACTGCTACTTCCTCCTATTCTGTGCAGTCTTTCTTGCAGCTGACTCCACGATCGCTCACAAACGTTCGCTTCCTCCTCACACGGTTCCCACTATTTTACCCTTGGATTCATGCCCAACTCGTCTTTTCCAGTGTAGGTTTTATTCGAGGGCCAGCATGATATTTGATCTCATTCAGTGCTCTCCTCAGCACATGTTCAATCCATATACACTGACTTCTATATATTTGTTGAGCGAAATTCCGTTAGTTGGTTCTCCATCTACCAGAGTTCTATGTTGTTCATCCTTTGCCATCTGATCGTCAGTATTGACCGAAAGCAAGTATCCATGGAATCCGACAGCAGGCTGTTAGAAATTCGTTTGGTGACGCATCAAGTCTCTGAAGCACATGCAAGTTCTGATCTGATATTAGTGTTGAGAATTCAGATCTTGCTGAGTGTAAGAGATCTCGGCAATGACTTTAGTATCTGTTATTCTAAAATCGTAGGAATAATGTATGCAGAAGTTTAACTTTAAAACTTTACTGAACTTGTCTTAGTGTGATGGTATTCAGTCTGAAGTGCGAAAAGGTCTGTTTCAAAGCAGGATGAGAACCAAATCACTTCATCCCCTAAATTTCCCCCGACATTATATTATTTGCTGTTCAGAGGTACGTCATATGGTCTTCTCAGTTTTTCCTAAGTCTACCGGTTCGTCGATGGTAGAGTGGTAGAATCCTCGGCAACCACTCATTATGTCCCGGGTTCGATCTCCAGCTAACGCATTACTAACCCTTGCCTAGCCGATAGTAGAGGGAAGGTTGGGCGTGAGGCTAGTAACCCCACCCCGTAAAAATAAAGCTACTGCTACAAAAACTTCAACGCCGAACTGGTGGAAAAATAATAGTGTGATGACCTCGTAGTACAAAGGTCCTTCATTCCATCATTGGTGAGGTCATGCGTAAATAATACTAAAGAGTTGAGAGTGAGGACAAAAGGGCTACTCAGCGATCCCTGTTTTCCAAAAATGTTGAAATAACGCTATTAATTTATTTATGCTTGTTTAATAAACGTTTGCCTGGTCAATATTCACTCAGTAATTTTCAGTTTTCTCCCTTTTGTATTTCTTAGATGTCAGTAATGGACGCTGCAACTGGTTTTTGGGAGAAGGCTCTGAGTGTTAAAGAACCTTCAGGTAAAAATTCACTGATTAGAAGGTGAGTTTTATAAACATTTCAGCTTTATTGGTTGAGGTATTTACTGAAAGTTATTTCAACGTTTGGTGTAACTATCATGAGCCTGTTAGTATTATCCTTCCCTTGCGTTCCAAGTATAAAATCAAACTTAACTACCAATATCCCTACTCTATTCAGTTCCTTATAATCACTTTCAACTGTCCCCAGGACTGCCCGAAACTTCTCATTTCCTTCTTACATGGTCTTCTCCATATCACAATCAGATTCATGCCGAAACCTTTCACTTTCCACACGGAGGCCATAATGATTTTTGATATCACTCAGAGCTCTCTTTAGCATCTATACAGTCTATCTTCATTTCCTTCGTGCTAAAGTCGCGAATTGGCAGAAGTTAAAGTTTCCTGGGCAATTGAGTAAATTTCCCATGGCTGAATAATAAACGAGCACCTGAGTTCAAACCCTTGGTAGGTGATTACTGCCAATGAATTCTAAGCTAGAACGAAATAGCTACACAGTTATCCCTGGTTTTCAGTGGTTCTCTAACTGATATTAATCTTTGGTCAAACTTCTGCATATCTATTGCGTAACGTGTTGTTGGCTGGTTCACGTGGGCTGCCCGAGTTCTTTGTTATTTATCACTTCCTTCACCTATTTAGGGACCATCTTTTCAACTACAGGTGACAGCACAGATGAGAATTTCAAAACCAGAATCGGAAGAGCAAAGCAGACATTTGTCACTTAAATTAGTTTGGAAATCTACCTCATTCAGCATGAAAAACAAAATTCTGATTTTCAACATCAATATTAAGGTATTCAATTCTTCCATATGCGTCGGAAAATATTTCCAACAGGCCAATGCAGACTTTTATCGACACCTACCTTCGCTGCATACTGAGCATCAGATGGACAGAAAAAATCATTAACGAACAACTCTGGGAAACAACCGACCAAGAACCTATTGCTCAACAAATATGGCGAATAAAATGGAGGTGAATCGGAAACACTCTGAGAAGGCCGTTGAATGATATCGCGCTCCAGGTCATCGACAGGAACCCGAGTGGGAAGCGACAAGTTCAGCATTATTGCGGTGACATGGAGGAGGACTTCAGAGGGGGAAATAAGACACTATAGGCAATCATGGCACAAGTTTAAAAGGACACCAGAGAACAGGATGGGCTGAGATGTGCTGTTGAAGTCCTATGTTCTCCTCAAAACACATAAATACAATAGCAATAATACATTACTGCTAAATTTGTGGTGATTATCAAATATGAGCCACTAGATTACGTAAGAACCAACAGATAAGACCTATAAGTATTTCCAGAAATTTAAATGGTCATTCACGGTCAAATCTTGTTCAGAGTTTGTATAAATCATTCATAGTGAGTAAGAAGATAAATTTAGTACTTTTGAAGAGTAAAACAGTCGAAAAACTATTCTCCTAGACTTTCACTGATTCTCCGATACAGAATTCACTTTGTTACTGTTGCAATGATAAAGCCATTAAGCTGAAAGATGGTTCTGTTAGGAGCGCAGAAAATATTCGGTAGTTTCTAAATTTAAAATCTAAGTAGAAGTATCTAATCTGAATGAGTTTTAAAATAAATGTTACATGAGTTTCATTCAACACAACATAACTCCATAAGGTCCTTGTGACGACCGAAACTGAATAATTGTGGTCTCAACCCAGTAAACCGACCTCTGCGTTCCAAGTAAGTATCAGAATTTTGAGCAGATCGTTCAGAAGAGATTTTCCAAGGAGTTATTCTGCTACAGTCTTTAGATAGAGTTCATCGGTGATGACTATGATATTTATCACAATCACTTTCTTCATACAAAGATGTTGGTTTAATTGGTGGATGGTGACTAGCAGTGGAATCCAGGACGCGCATTTCGTCCTATTTGGGACTCGTCATCTGGATGTACCTGCATTTCTCAGTGGGTGATGATGTTCCCACCGAGGCTCGAACCCAGTGCCCATAGTTTCCAACGCCAAAGCGTTATCCACTAGACCACTTGGGCCACGAGAGCCACCTCTTGTGCAACGGGTCATATTGATTTAATTGAATTTTAGATTTTTCCCGTCGATTGATTGGACCGAAGTGCTCGGTCTCAGGTTGACATGTCGGTTTCTTGAGCAGATGCTTCGACGATGTCTGGGCATTTAATTAGTATTTAATTGGTGGATGGTGACTAGCAGTGGAATCCAGGATGCGCATTTCGTCCTATTTGGGACCCGTTGCACAAGAGGTGGCTCTCGTGGCCCAAGTGGTCTAGTGGATAACGCTTTGGCGTTCGGAAATATTGGCACTGGGTTCGAGCCTCGGTGGGAACATCATCACTCACTGAGAAATGCAGGTACATCCAGATGACGAGTCCCAAATAGGACGAAATGCGCGTCCTGGATTCCACTGCTAGTCACCATCCACCAATTAAATACTAATTAAATGCCCAGACATCGTCGAAGCATCTGCTCAAGAAGCCGACACGTCAACCTGAGACCGAGCACTTCGGTCCAATCAATCGACGGGAAAAATCTAAAATTCAATTAAAGATGTTGGTTATTTAGATTTAATCGCTATTCTATAATTTATCAGAATTTTAAAGGAGTTTGATTTAATGTGATAACTTGACCAGTCAGCTATAAAAATTGTTAGCTAGAGTAAACCCCCAGTTGAAATTTAACACCCAGCATGTGTTGTCATTGTCTTCTGTCAGTGTTTTAGTTGACTCCATAACCCATGTCTTAGGTACAATGTCAGAAAGGATTAAACTGACGTCTGTCGTGAATGGAGAGACCAGTAACACAGTATAGAGCATTATATAAAATCTGACCAGTGGAATTATGGAGACACTGAAATGAACTAAGATACACAGAAATTTTTATCACATGCAGAAAATCTGTGACCAAATATATGAGTGTCATACACTTTCTGGGAAAAATGTGACTATATCCTTCACTGATAAGATAGGTAGATATATAGATATGTTGCTTGTATAATGTGGGATAAACTTATGGATTCCATGCTGGACTGTTTGTTTGATATGGAAATATTCTATAGAGTATTATACAACCAAGTTAAATTTTAGACGCAGGCCAGTGTCGACGGACTGGGACCGCACAGATTACCTTGAAGTACTCAGTCAGCAACTTTAATGAAATGAGGCAGATAATATTAGAATCAGGAATAAAATATGCACTAATAAAGTGTTTTGATGTTAAACGGTATATGCATTAGGTCTTCGTTAAGTGTGAGAAAGACTAAGTTAAGGTTTGGGCTAAGGACAGGTTAGGGTTAGGCGGGCCTGATAAAGGAGATATCAGGATTGGTTAGAGTTAGATAACGGCTAGCTAAGAGATATTTTCAGGCTAGGGTTAGTTTAAGGAAAGAATGTGAATAGGGTGAGGGTTAGAATACCCGGATGAATACCGCTGTAGAATATATTACCATTACTCGGCTGCTACTGTACTGCAAAAGTGGGAGATATTTTTGTTACACGTCTGAAAAAGGCATTCTGTGTAAAAGTGTCGTGCATTTAACTCAATACTTCCATCCATAAGTCTACTTCAAACTTAAAAATCGCCTTCTTCATGTAGATGATGCGTTCATAGTCATTTGTCCGTTAGTACTTACTGGTGGTCAATGTTCAACTTTGACTATGATTTATTTGAATGCCTCTCATTAATTCCAACTTGCTGCTAACCATCTTATCAAGATAATTTCAGAACTCCTGATAATTGTACTTTAATCGCTTTATATCTTTCGGTTGCCTAATTTTAAATATGTGTGTAAAATCGTATTCGCGATCTCCTTTCGTTATGTCTGGACACAATTCATCAGCCTCACTTTGGTGTATGAGCAGCTTGAGAGGATGACTCCATATCATTGTGATTAATAAGCCAAAGTTAACTGTCTAATGCTAGCCAGCAGCAGAATCCAGGAAATGCCGCTTCGTTCGCTTTTGGGACTCTTCAGATAGAGCATGAAGTAGAAAGTCCTGGATTCGAGTCTCGATGGGGACACCATTAATCACCGAGAAGTAAGTGCAATTAAGGCGTGGAAACTTGCGATTTACGTTGCAGTACTAGCTGCGATCAAAGAGGCAACTTTGGGATTAAATAATAGAGAAGATTTGTAGCTCAGGTGGATAATTTGCAATTAGTAGTATTCTCTGAGCTGGTTGATTTAGTTGTGGAGCTTTCGTCGTCCTTCTGGACAACATCTTCAGCTCAACGTCTAGTATAAAGTGAACTGATTTAAATTCTTCATGAGTGATAGAACTGCGTCTCCCAGGAACCATCTTTACGTATGCATTGATCATTTTCTATTGACTTGGATTTTAAACTTTCTGGTCACATTATCTACTTTTTATTAGACAGTATATTTGGTCTATATTAACATGTTTGTTAATTGCATATTCGTTTGAAAACTAGGCTTCTAGGAATTTCCTGTCACTTTTGGTGTTTCCTCTGTCTAAAATTTCGACATTATCCCAACCAACCAGCTCAGAGAGCACTTCTAATTGTAATTTTGGGATTGTTGAATAACTGGAGCTCACTAACCTGACATAGACTATTCGACTAGATTTATAGAAAAAATAGAAGGAAAATTTTTTTTAAATGCTTAAAACCTAATGGCACATTTGTAAAGTATGTAAAAATTATCAGAGTGAATGAATTAAGCTGGGCATACATCAGGGATAGCAGGCTGTGCTAAACAAAATTATCGCTTTTAGTAAAAACACGTTGAATACAGTGTTTAGTATTCATACAAAAATGAGCAAGAATTCGGTCTTTATTAATTGTTTTTTTTTAAATGATTTGTTTAAAAGAGATTTGGGGGTATTTTGAAATTTGGGTTAATGTCAATGAAAACCAACGAGTGGTGGCCTAGTGTTTCGTCCTATTTTTGGACTCTTCACCCTAAAGAAGCTATCCAGTGGCCCGTAGTTCTTAATGATTAGCCAACTGATATTGGTTTGTGAAGAAGTCACGATTGAAACACAAGCATCTGACAAATTTTCGATGGGGAAAGCATTATCATTTGGACAGGCAGATAGCCATTTGTGTATTCCTGTAATATACATGACTTGCTTCTACTGTAACGCAAACATTGTCTGGAAAATCCCTCCCGTATGATGTAATCACAATATTTACAATCATTTGAACATTTCAACTAACTTTGTAATTATTATCTGTTGTCCCTAGACGCCATATATTATTGCTGTAACATTTGCATATGATTTGTTGACTTCATCCTTATCACTTGTTGTTGTCACTGTTTAATCTCTCATTTTAATGATTCTCTTTTCGGCAATATGATAACATTGATGATGTCTTGTTTTCTGAAGTTATTTTGTTTGAGTGGATCAAGATGAGCCTGACCTTCGACGGTCCGAGGGAAGCGTTGGTGTGTGATTCTTGTTGACAGAGTTTCGATCTCCCCTCGTTGGGAATATTCCATTTGATTCTAAGCACTTGCTTTTGTAATTAGAATCCTACCTTGTCTGTATAATTGCCCTGTGGAGTTATTGAGAACCACATATAGGTTTCTGTCTTTGGAGCCTTTTGTGATTGTGCGTGTCTCAAGGAAGTTTTGGTCAGCTATGCAACAGGACTCAGAGATTGGTTTCCTGCGTTGAGACATCAACGGGATGGGTTTGACCATAACAGGCATCCATAGTCGTGATTCCCATAAGAGACGATAGATGACTGATACAGACAATGATTCAGCATGGCAATATCAGTGGTAGACAAAAAAAGCCCAAGTAGTATTGATTGAGACAGACAGCGTGAAACGCGGACGGTATGTTAAGAGGATTTCTGATTAGGAAAACATTTAATAAGGCACTGTTATGCAAGGAACACAAGGCTTCTGAAGATGAGGCGAAATTTAGAGAAAAATAAGAACAGAAGATATGATCTGTACTTGTATGGAATCATTTTTAAAATGTAAATGCCTTGTAAACCACAAATGAAATTCATTAAAAATTAAACACCGTGTTTTGTTTTTCTCATTATTTTTGATTGACAAGGAATTGTCTCCATGATATTGGTTACGTGAACGCCGAGAACGATGCAGTCCATTGTAATAGATGTTTAAAAGAAGTTACTTGTGGAAATTATTCAATACCAGCCAAATATTTGACGGTAGGTTGAGGAAATTTCGCCTTCTTTAACATTTTGTGATCGTTTAAAGTGGAGGCGCTTGGTGCTGAATTCCTATGTTGCACTTAGAATCCAACAGACTAGTGATAATTATCAGAAATAATGACAGTTTTATCCTGAAGAGAATATCTACACAATGTATGGAATTTGCAGCTTCATTTATTACATAACATTCTCTCTTCATCCAGTGAATGACTTGAGATAAATGATAATCAACAGTATGTCATGTGACACAACGCTGTTTGATTCGAAGTACTGACCAAGCCTTTATGAAATTTTTCCTTCATATCCGAAAAATTCACAATAGTAGTAGTAGTAGTTTGTATTAGATGGTTGGAGGCAATGGGCCACAGGAAGCTTTGGACCTAGGTTTCGTGCTAGTTGGCACCACCAGTCAGCAAGGCTTATATGCAGCCTCGAAGGAACTCATGTCCCTTCTGAGATTCGAACCCGCGTCACCCGGTGGGCGCTGCAGTCAGAGACGTTATCAGTGAGCGAGAGTAGATTTCTCAGCTCATATACACAGCTGAATAATAAAAATTGAAGTAAAATATGATGCATTGTGTTGAGTGACCAAACTTCAGGTAGCCCAATGATTCAAACAGGTCGCCAGATATATTATCATTGATATAATGGACGTTCAATATATATTTTGCGTGGAAATTTTGAATAGATTTATTGATTTATTACAATAAAGGTTTCTGTATTTCTCAAAGTATTAATAAACCAGAATTTACAAAATCTCAGCATATATAAAACAACTGAATCGTTGTTCCTCAGCATGGGGCCCCTTTTGGGAGTGAGTATGCTTGAAAAGATGTTATCTTCGAATCTATTCATGAAAAGGTCAGTGAATATTGTGGAAAACTGATGAACCCATATGTAGATGATACTTTTGTAGTGCTGAAACGAGATCTACACAGTTCATTCTTGGAGAAAATTAACAATCTATCTCCAAACATCCAGTGTACTTCGGAAGCAGAATGAGACATCGGTGAACTACCATTTCTACACTGCCTAGTTAAGAGGATGGAAAACGGATATTCTAGAATATCTACATTCAGGACAAAAACCCAGTCCAATAAATATTTAGACTTTGGATCATCACACCCCATCAGCGCAAAGGTATCAGTTGTTTCAATTCTTCTTAGACGAGCACACTCTCTGATAATGGATGAGAAACAATAAGAAGCAAAAATATTAAACATTACTGAGACTTTCAAGTAAAACAACTACCCAAGGGACTTCATCAACAAATTCAACAATGACATTAAATATGGTCGAAAACGTATTCCGAAAACATGGACCTCAACATATGTCATTCCTTATAGAGCAGAGACGTCAGACCATATCAGAAGAGCACTCAATAAGCTCGACATCAGCGTTTTGGCCAAAACGTCAGACACACTGCGAAACAACCTTGTCCACTTAAAAGACCGAATCCCTAGAGATTCTCTATCTAATTGTGTCTATAAAATAAAATGATTGGAATGTGATGTGATACACATCGGACCAACATCATAAGAAATCAAAATCAGAAGAAAGGAACACCGTAGACCACCGATAAATCCGGTTGAACTAGAAAAACTTGAAAACTCATCATCCAGCCATAGCTCTACACGTTATAGAATCAGGCCACAAAATTCATTTTGATAATAGTGAAATAATCCAGAAAAATTTCAAAAATCACAAATAACGTCTCATTTCATCAGAATCACTTCGTATCAAGTGGAATCGAAATTGTCTGAATAGGAATGAAGAAATAAAACAGAATTTGACCTGGTTACAACACCTTCCCCCATGAAGTGAAAAAATCAACACGAATGTGATAAGCAATTTCATTATGCAAACACATGCTGCTTTTATAATCTTACACACTTATCAAATCCAACAATCTATACCTGGTTTGGTTATCTTTACCAATTGGCCAATTTGACAACGAAAAATGCCCAATGCTGAGGAACGACGATTAAATTGGTATATAATGCAAGCTGAGATTTTGTAAATTCTGGTTTAATAACCCTTTGATGAAGCTATTAGAGGCAGCATTAAATAGCAAAACGTCAGTAAAAACAAGAATATCGTTCGGTTTTTCATTCATTGGTAAATACAAAACCTTTATTAAAATGAATATCATATACCTAATGCCCAATTTTTTTTCAAACTGTTAGCAGTTATTGATGTAAAAAGATAATTTTTCAGGCTTTTCACCCTTACACGTTTGATATCGAGATACTTTTTATTAGTGATACAATAAAGTGTGTAATTAACCTCTTGACATGAGGCTTAAGTTCTGATGAAACAAAACTGTTTGATAAAAAGATTAAACTTCAATGTAGCTGTTGAAAGATTGTAACTTGAGAATATCATATCAAGTATAGAAGTGACACTGAGTGAAGCAGATAGAACTACTGCGGAACAATTCAGAGTACAGTTTGCATTAACAATAAAGTGTCAGAAGAAAGGAGGAAACAACTTATCTATAGTTGGTTTGTAAGGGCTAGTTTTATTTTTTTACGAGTTGATAATGGATTGATATCAGTTAGAGAACCATTGAAAACCAGGGAGTACTGCAAGACAGCTGTTTCATCCTAGTTTTGAAGTCATCGGCAGTATGAACCCACCGACAGGGTTCGAACCCGGGACCTTTCGATTACAAGGCAAGCTGGCTCGTATATCATTCAGCCACTGGGACCCAATTCAGTGGCTCATGAATTCTAACTTCTACCAATTAGTGATTTGCGCGATTCCCAAACTAGGATGAACTAGCTGTCCAGGACTCCCTGGATTTCAATGGTTCTCTAACTGATATCAATCCGTGATAAACTCTTAAAAAGCTTAACAACTTATCACAAAAAGAGATAGGAGCCCTCAAAAAGCTAGAAAAATGACGAAAGCATAGTAATCACCAACTCGGAGTGATGTAATAACAGTTGTGGACAAATCAGATTATATCGCCATGTATCGAACATCTACATATGCATTCAAACATACCTGTATGAAGAAATTAAAAGACCCGTGGACACTATTATGAATAAGATCAAAAAATCTACAGGTGATTGAGTACGCTGCATGAAGTCATCTTTGGGTGAGTTAAAATGGTTCCTCCTAATGCCTATAACTAATAATCCTAGTATAATGCATGGTACTATGAAAATTTATAAAAAAAATAAAATATCCAATCGGGCCAATAGATGACACCAGACATACGAGTTATTTAAATATTTGTCATCAATATTATGCCCCATTGTGCGTCCGTGGTAAAGCGGTTAGACGCTCGCCGACCAGGCACATGGTCCAGGGTTCGATCCCCGGCCACCGACGCACCCCTTTACCTCGCTAAAGAGGGAAGGTTGGGCATAAGGCTAGCAATCCCATCCTGTAAAAATAAACACTGCTACAGAAACTTCAAGGCACTAGCTTGAAGCCCTATATTCCACTAGGAACGTGAAGGAACACACAAGTAATATTATGCCCCACTAGAGGTAGGTCAGATTCTAGGCTAGCGAATTCACACATAATGAAACAGAAGCCATGGGAAATTCAGTTAGACAGAGATGAAAAAAAAGTGATCCGTTTCAACACAACCAGTTTGTACACTAATATTCCGACTAATGCAGTTCTGATGGCAGATAGGAACTAAAAGGACATTGATTGTTGAACTAGAAAATAGGACTGAGTTCTGAATTGATGAAGTAATATTATGCTTTTTCAGTTATATCTAAACTCTAACATATTCAAGTTTCACAAGTAAATATTCAAACAGACGAATGTAGTGGCAATGGGATCACCAAAATCTCTAGTAGTAGCAAACATATTTATGGATAATCTGGAGCATGAATCCCCTAGAATGTTTCATCCTGCTAGCAAGATATAGTGGAGATATATGGACGACACAATCCGTTTGTTTGAATCTAAACATACCCGTCATTTCTTTGTACATATAAACTCGGTAGTAGATGGAATTAAATTCACTTCTGAGTTAGAAAACAAGCAAGGTGAGTTGATCATGTCAGGAAGTAATATAGAACAAAGACAAGATGGGGGGGTGTTTGGATACTAGCATTTATAAGAAACCGACACAGTCTATTAAATACTTGGACTTCAGTTCACCCCAGCTACAATCGGCAAAGACAGATTTAGTTACATGTCTATATAATCGGACCAGGAGCCTAACTAGTAAGCCAAAAGATTTAAATAATCAAACCAAACAAAAAAAAGGAAATATTACTGGTGACTAGCTACCCACAAGGATTTATTCAGAAACATATGAAGACCCATAGGGGAAATAAGATAAATATAGAATTCAGAGTCTCTGTAGTACTGATGTATAAAGAGGGGAAGTCAGTGGCCTTACATACGATTCTCAACGAGGCTGGAATTAAGGTGGCATTTAAACCAACCAGCTCTCCCACAGATAAAATATGTCTGCTTAAGGATCCGATAAATCCAATTAGGAAAAATAATATAATTTACTAAATACCATGTAATGACTGTGAGGTCAATTACATAGGTCAGTAAGATTATTGGAACATAAAAAATTTAGCCAGAACTAGAATGACTGACCCTTGTAGGTTAAATAACCTGGTAAACAATTCGGCCATTGCAGTCTCTTGAATGTAATCACAAAAATGGGTGCGTGGGACCGGTTGAAAGTATTAAAAAGTAATAGAGTTAGTTAGGTGGAGAGAGAGAGGCTAATCACTGAAGCTTTGTTTATGGATTCGACATCGAACACATGCAACTGGATTTATTCAACGCCTCTAACGGAGACATGGAAAGTAGCAACAAGCAACGAAGGAAAGTTGGAGAGATAGAAAGAAAGAAACTTTTTAAAACCAACCGACTAGAAAGATAGAACATATGGTGTTGAGAAGGAATGGTCAAAAATGTTGAAGATGTTGAAGCACGAATCTATTATCACTCCGTATATGTATGAATATCTCAAGCCGTCTGAGTCAGCCATCCCTCGTTTATATGGTCGTCTCAAGGTGCATAAAGATGGTGTCCCTCTGCCACCTATATTGGACATGCTTAACTCTCCTTATCATTCTACAGCAAAATGGCTCACTGAGATCCTTGAACCAGTGAGACCAAGTCTATGCAGACGCAGTCTTTCGGACACTTCTGACTTCGTCAGCTGAGTCGGTGGAATTAATGTAACTGGCTAGCGTATTATCTCAATAGAAGTTCGCTGTTGATTTACGAATGTGCCGTTATTAGAAACTTTGTTATCTATGTGATTACATTAACCTAAAGTGTATAGACATTGGAGTACCAACTAACTTTCTGAGGCAGCTTTGACTGAGACGCACACCTAGTGTGCAGTTTAGATTTAATGATGTTATCTGTAACCAGAAGGATGGGATCTCCATTAGCACCTCTCATAGAGGACGTCTTCATAGGGAGTTTTGAGAGGGGACCATTGAAAGAAACAGTTTCAAGTCTTCATATGTATAAGCAATATGTTGATGACACGTTCATTATTTGTGACAAAAATTGCTCAGTTGCTGAGTTTCTTGGAAAATTTAATGGTTCTCACTCATCTATGCTTCTTACTATGGAAGAAGAGTAGAACCCCGCATTTCACTTCTTAGATATGATGCTTGGTAGAAGGGAAGACGGCACGTTAAAATAGTTGATCTACCTAAAGTCAACACTTAGAGATCAGTACACTAACTTCAACAGTTGGGTACCTCTAAGCAGGAAGAGAAATCTTATCCGTTCTCTATGCTCCAGAATTCGGAAAATTTGCTCTCTAGATACGATCAACTTAGAATTTGAAAGCCTTCGTACAACTCTTATAAGTAATGGAAATCTTAGACGGTTTATCGACAGAAATATCAAGAAAGAAACAGTCTTTAGCCAAACTACAGTCCTGAAGAAGACACCGAAATATGATTCGACAATGCGTCAAGGATAAATTGCCGCTTATATCCACCTCTGTGTACATATAGTCATTCACATGCTCTTGTGGCGCTGATAACATTGGACGTTGTAAGCATAATCTCCTTAAACGCGTAGCTGAATACTACCTTGTTTGGTTAATAAAAGGTGAAAAAAGGACGACAAAGTCTTCAATCTGTGAACACCTTCTGGAGTTAGGTCATTCAGGCCCATGTGATTTATCCTTTAAAGTTATCTACAGGACTAAATCTAATCACTCCAAGAGCTTACGTTTTCTCCACTTATGTGTAGCCCGGCGAATCTCTAGCTATACATGGACAAATACCTAAATTATGCATTCAAAAACGTTATCTCTAACCCATTTGTTTACCCTGGTCATAATAACGTTCTTTTATTTGATTCTATTTTACCACTTGAATTCATTCCACCTCACTTCACTTTCACCGTCTTTATTGTTATCATAATCTTATTCTTAATCTTTCAGACAACACCTGACCTATAATTTAAAATCTCAATAGCAGTCCACTTATTTAATCATTTTTAAAAATTTTATAATTCATCCACTTTAACTCTACCCCCTTAGTAAATCATTTTAATTAGGAGCTAGAGAACCACTGGAAAACAACTGGGAGTACTGGACAGCTGTTTCCCACGTCCTAGTTCGGGACTCTTCAGCAGTATGCACCAGCGGGGTTCCAACCCAGGACCTTCTGGGTACAAGGCGAGCTCATAGACGATTGAGTCACCGGGACCCGATCCAATGGCCACTCCATGAATTCTAACTTCTGGCAATTCACGAATTCATGGGCAATTGGCTTAATGGTCTACAAGCCAGGTCGCCTTGTAACCAGAAGGTCCTGGGTTCGAACCTCACTATGTGAGTGCGTACTGATGAAGAGTCCCAAATTAGGACGAAATAGCTATCCAGTACTCCCAGCTTGTTTTCCAGTGGTTCTCTAACTGATATCAGCTCATGATGAAATCCTCCATGCAATCAAACAAAATCCTTACAAAACCAATACTTGAACATTTTAATTATCTTTGTTCGTATCATATGTGCAATATTGACTGAGCAGTTTCTAGTGCCACTAAATGCCTTCTTTTTCTGTAATACAAGTACGACTATACAGTTGTTTGAAAATAAATTATTTGAAGAGAGATATTTCTTCACTGAACAAAAAACTGTTTTTCCTTATAAAATTAATGGGCATATTTCATGAAATATATATGTGCGTCGGTGGCATAATGGTTAGGACGCTCACCGACCATGCACATGGTCCGGGGTTCCATCCCCGGCCGACGCATTCCTTTACCTCACTAAGCCAGAAATAACGCTAGTGAAGAGGAAAGGTTGGGCATGAGGCTAGCAAACCCATCCTGTAAAATAAGCACTGCTACAGAAACTTCAAGCCACTAGCTTGAAGCCCTATGTTCCACTGAGGAACGTGAAGGAAATAAAAAATATATATATCACAAAATGTGAAAACGTATGACTAAATAGATATGATCATGAGCGGCAATAATTTATGTTTGAAACCTTGTCATCCAGTTATTAATAATACATCATCACTGTGTGATATTTAAAATAAACTTACCTAATCTGGAATAACAGTTTTTTAAAAATTTTATTCATTGTGAGACCAACATTAAGGACATTTAGCTTATTTCTTGTTCAAAAAAAACTAAATAGGGTTGCTATGAAATACACTACGGCAGTGAAGATGTCAAAATTTACGATAAAGGAGAGGGAATACAACCAAATCAATTTCTTCTAATTGTTGATCGTAAGTCAAACGAAATGTGTGAGGATTCAACCGCCGCTTACACAATAGTGTGTGAATTACATGAAGAAACTGAAAGGTAACAAATTTTATTTCTAAATCTATGTATCTCTAATCCAAAAGATATAGTTAGTATATACTGCATTATTATTAAATAATTCATACCTTGTGTTCCGAGTATAATGTATAGTTTCAATACAACTTAACATTTCCACCTGACATTATCTTCTTCATATTACACACAGAACAGCGACAGAATAGTCGATATCCATTCATCTTCCTTACGAAGACAAGATTGTCCTGTGAGATGTTACTCGGCACTCTCTATAGCCATTTTATATTCTGCTTCCATTTACTTCTCCATATTTTTTTGGGTGATATGATGTTGGTAGGGGCACCGGCTGCCAGCGTTCCATGCAACTCATCTCTTCTGACTGGCCATGTGATCTAGAGCACTGAGTTAAGCTGGATCACAGTGAAAATCTACAGTGTGATGAACATACTTTTTTTGAACGACATCCGTCAACCTCTGAATCATACGTTAGCATGGATACTAACATTGAAAATTCAGATGTTTTCCCTGTGTAATGTAGACCTGTCTTGCCTTCCACGATCATGACTTTGAACTCCTCATCTCTGACGCGTCGGCCTAAAATGATGCTACCTGTGTTAGTAGAGGAGTCAATTCGCTTTTTTTGACTGAACTTCATAGATGGCTTATGTCTAATATCGCACAAATTCGAAGATCCATAGGCAAAAACCAACAAGGTGGTAGAAGAAGTGGCGAAGACAGGACTTCGAATAAACACGCAGAAGACAGAGGTGAAGAAGATACCCACCGATGGACAGCAATAATTACCAATCATTATCAAAGGAGAAATCACTTCTTGGATTAGCAGCATTGTTTCAACCACAGACAACGGCGCAGATGCAGATGTCAAAGCCAGCCTCGATCGGAAGAGCAAGACAGACTTTGAAATCTGTGTGAAAATCTACTGTGCTCAGCATAAACAACATGTTCTGGATTTTCGATACTAATGTTAACTCAGTCAATTCTTTTATATGATTCAGAGAGTTGGTGCGTTTTCACAAGTATTTCCACTACAATGAGAACTTTTGTGGAAGAAAAAACTCCTGCCTTTGCTTCATACTGTAGATCAGATGGCTGGTCAGAAAGGATAGAAAACGAGGAACTCTTGCAGCGAACCAACTAAGGACCTATCACTCAACAAATATGCTGAAGTAAATGAAGATCGGGGCCATCACACACTCAAAAGGCCATTAAGTACAGTCTTAAGTCAGACAATCGAGTAGAAACCGAAATGGAAATGATGAGTTAGGTGTAGGCTCCCAGTTGACACAGAGGACATCGTGTGAATAGGTGATGAAAGATAATGGGCACTGTTGGGGCTTTCTAAAAGAGACTGAAGAGAACAGGATGGATTGAAAATGTGTTGTTGAAGCACTATGTCCATTCAGAAGCCAAGGGAATAACAATAATAATAGGCGACATACTGTGATTGCTTCCTATCTGTCTGACTTATCAAGCTATTGGTATTTTAACTGTGACGGTCTCTCTCCAATGCGTTAGAGTTATTATAAGAATAATAAAAATGTCGAATTACTTTCAGGAAATTCATTATCATCTCTAATGTTTTAAATCATATTTCTAACAAAAAGTTTACATTGTATCGCTGTAAGTGATACAATGCGTTAATTTTAAAAATCATGACCATCTGAAATCTCTAATACAGTTGCTTTTCTCTGCTTTAGGCCTATTGCAGCATATATTAATTTCTGCCCACAGTATTTAGCAGAAAAGGAAGAGTTTGATGAAGAGAATGTTGTTACTGCAGTTCATGAGTTGGGTCATGCACTGGTTAGTTGAATATTTTATGACTTGTTTCTTTTCTTTTTGTGAAATATTATTGCATTATAAACAGTACTTCAGATTAACAAACAGTGATTGCTTGCGCTATACTATATATAGTTAGTACCAATTTTGCAAAAGAGCCTAACTTTGGCGCTAACACCCGTTACACAAGTTGGATTGTTAAGATTTGTTCTTAAATGCGTTGAAGTTCTCGAAAAACAGAGATATTTGGCATAGTTGCCCCAAATTACTTCACAGTAACACTTTGAGAATCTTCAATGAAACGTCAATGGTCAGTCTGAAAGAAGATATAATCATCCGTCTTAGCTTAACACTCTTTAGCGATGTTCTGTTCACCAGCCCATCAGTAAGTAATCTTAGGCAAGATTTTCAAGAGTTCGTTTGTAAGGATATGATTTTTATCAAGTTTGATCAGAGGTTTATGTCAGTAAGACAACTACTGAAGGCGAGGAAGTACTCGGCAGCTGCTTCCTACTAGTTTGAGAATCAGCAGAAGTACACAGGCACCGCAAACGTTCGAATGCGGTACCTTCTGTGACCCGACTCAATGGCCAACCCATGAACTCTAATTTCTACCAATCAACTCTTGAAAATTCTCCCTGGTGATGGTCTGCAGAAGGAGAAATTCTCGACTTCTAGTGAGAAGTTGTAAGTAGTGCGGTTCATCCGGTCGGGAGTGAGGGCAAATACTCACCGACGACATTGGTTGGAGGTCGCGCTAAAACCATGTATTGGTAGAAGTTAGAATTCATGGACTGTCTATTGCATCATGTCCTAGTGTCTGAATGGACTACAAGCGTTCCCTATAACGTGAAGGTTCCGGGTTGGAACCACGGTGGGTGCATGCCGTGGATAATTCTGAAACTTGGACGAAACCGCTGACCAAGACTACATGTTTTTCAAAGGCACTCTAACTAGCATCAATCCATGGACAAACTTGAAGGAAAGATTTTTTGGTTTCTCTATGGGTTATTTGTTTTTCAGAGAATGTGAGATTAATTCTTGTTTATTCTCAGTCTAAGGCAACAGTCATAGCATAATGAAACCAGAATTGGTCTCCTAATAAGGATAATACGAAACAATATTACAATTTTACAAATTAATTAGAAATAATAAGGAACACATAACCAGTTAGTTGAATGATATGGCTCTTGTAGAATTGACTGTTAGCACTGAAAACTGTAATGAATGAGGCCAAAATGTGCAGGAGTAGAAATGTTAAAACTACAGTATAACAGCTATATAGTTTTCAAGAATTTCTTATTGTGTACCCGTTCCTTGCAAAAATAATCTTGAAGTCAGTCAGCCAGTCACCTACACTACTTTGATACGTAGAAAGTTTGTATGGTGAACTGGAAGTAAAAGAAGCTTCGGCAATGAACCAGCCAACACCTTACTACACAATAAATTTGCAGAAGAAAATTGAAGTGGACTGGACATAGGCTGAAAAGACCTTGGGATGACGTGAAACCGACCAAAGATAAACAGGTGAAGCTGGACTGCGATCTTTAGGAATTCCGCTGATGAGCATGATTTGTACTAGAGTATATTGGACAGCCCTTGAGCGTCTGAATAACTTTGTGTACCTATCTATGGTAGGTATTTATGGAGTGCTTGTAATGTGTCACGCGTATGAGAGGGTGCACGGATCTGCGCGCCACTGCACAAAGACAGGCATTACTGTCAGTCTGCTGGGCTTGGTTGGCTTGGCAGGTGAGACTTGCTGGTTCCTTCTGTAGGCTATGAGACTAGTTGATTGTCTGAGTGTGATACGGGAAAATAAACTGAAGAGAAAATAAAAGTTTGAAAGCTTGTAAACAGTCGTAAAGCCAGTTGAAAGCTTTTGCATATAAGCGAGTGGAATAAGGATGTGACACTGAGTCCCTTTTTTCTATATGGAAAGCAAGTAATGAACTATAAGTCCGTTGAAGTACTCGGAAATTAAGCAATACGATTTTTCATTCTAAATAATCTTAAGCAAAGTAATGCTGGTTGAGAAGGGGCATCAGTTAAGTAAGCTGAAAAATTCTCTACTCTGAAACGTGTTCATTGACCCTAATTTAAATAACCATAAATTCGCTAATACCAGTATCACTTTTTTGAAAGGAATGACTTAAAAATGCTTCTTAATAAAACAAAGTGTCAAACCTAATCAACTTTTACTTTCTAGGGATTTTCTTCAGAGTTATTTCCATATTTTCGAGATGAATATGGTATTCCTAGAACAAAGAGGCACCCAAGGAACAATATGCCAATACTTTCATACTTGGGGTAATTTTTAAATGTTGAAATCAAGACTTATATATATTCATTTTCATCTTAAAATTTTGATTATGGTCAATTTTAATAACTAAGCTTGAATAATAATAATATTGACAGCTGAAATCGCTTCAATATAACAAGTACTATTATTTGCAACAGCATCATTATACATGCCTACATATATCATTCATTGTGTTCCAGACGAAACATAGAGCTTCAGAGTCGCAAATCCATTTCGCTGCATTGTATACCATCACTGTTAACTGGTTACACAGTAACGCACAACTTTTCACTTCCTCCTTACATGATCTATACATTGCACACCGAACCAAGTCAAAAGCCATCCTTTTCCACTCACCTTTCATATGATGGCTAAAATGGTGTGTGATCTTTTCTTCTCATCATTTTTACAATCCATTTCGAAATCCTTCTACATGTTTGGCGCCGGAACCAGGGTGATCACGAATGCCCTGGCTCCAGATGGAGGAGGCTCGCTTTTGCACTTTGGCGTGTTGAAGTCTGCAACGATCCCTAATAGGGCTCACTCGGACGTTTTTGTGCATCGATGGCACAGCGTGTAGGACTCTCGCCGACCATGCACATGGTCCGGGGTTCGATCCCCTACCTATAGACACCTCATATTAGTGGTCAACCTACAAAATTTGGGCTACCGATCCTAGTTACTTATTGTTTCTGGTTGAACATAGGATCTTCTCAATGTATAATACATGATAGACAAAAGTTTTTATTGATCGCCTAGTATTAGAACTTAACACCAGTTTGTATTTGGAGTACAAGAACAGAAATTTCAGCGAAGAGTTTCTTTTCACCGGTGAATTCATTCACTTAGCTGTACACTAGCACTTATATATAATTATTTTGTGTAAATTAGGATTGTCAAACAAAAATAAAAATTAGTTAGGGTTATCGCTTACATTATCAAATTGTTTCTAAAATGTGATGACTCATCAAATTATAACTAGGAGGGGGTGTGAAGATTAGTAAGTATTGACAAGGGTTGCGTAATATGAAAGACACACAGAAAAATAGAATGTTAATGAAACAGCACGGGGCTGCTTCTCAAAAGTAAATTACGCAACAGGTGGAAGGAACGAACAAAGGGTTGGTTAAGAAAAACATGTTACCAAGATGTCATACAAACATTCAAAAAAGAAGCATTATTAACAAAGTAGTAGAACTTGAATTATACCCAAAGAAAAAGGAGGGGCTGGAAAAACTTCTCCTGTGTACATAAATCTGGGTTTTCTACCCCGATCGCTAAGGCCTTCCTGGCAGTGGAAAGTTTACGAAAGCTCATTGTTTCAAGAGGCTTCTTTTGACTTTGTGGATGACTTTGAATGAATTCTCTTTGCATACTGAGTGATCAGTGTTGAATATATGTTCACTTATGGCGCTCCTTACTCATTCAGTGTTACCTTTTCGTAGCCAAGCGGGATAACGTTCTTTGGCTCTTTTAGATGAAATACACATCGAACGAACTGTATATTTTGCTCCACATTGGCAAGTGAATTGGCAGATACACATAGAAGTGGTCAAATGCAATAGTTTATCTTTGGAGTTGTTGAAGAACAATGGGCGGTTTGAGAATACCATTCCTAACGTAACAGCAGAGAATGTCTTTTTCAGGGAGTTAGGTATTCTTCTCTTAAGGATGTCGCTCAGAAGGTCTCCTTTGAACGCCACATTCATGTATAGGATCTTCTTTGGTACAGAGATAGCTTGTTCTTTGTTGATTTTCAGCTTTATGTGTCTTCAAAATAGTATATGTGAGATAAACACCTCGCGCCATCAGATGAATACCTCATAGACAGTTGCATAGCGTTCTTTTGATTGTCACAATCAGCCACGTATAGGTATTCAAACAGCGAAATCAGCTATTTTCTGAAGACGTGCACGATATTGTATAGTTTATACTACCAGTTTGTTGATACAAATAAAAATGGTTAGCATGCAAGAAATAAGCCATATCTCTCATTGACTGATTGCGAACTCATAGTACCATTAGCGATACGTAGTGGTGATGACTAAGTTAACAGAATTCGGTCGGCTGTTAGTACTTAAAATAAAATAATTTTCATCATACAGTAAAATGAGTATTGAGTGCTAAATCCTAACAAATAATATTCAGTAGTCTGAAGTTTCCTTATCGTAGTAGATTCGAGAATAAGAGTTTACTCTGTGTGGTAAACAGTTTACAAAATCATCTGTTAGAATTCAGCCAGTACGAATAAGCTCCAGACGTTTAACACTGGTTACTTCACAGTGGCTAATCAGTGTAAACCCTTAGTCTGTGGTGGGTTTGAATCTGCGAGGAAACATCTGTTAATTCGACGTTGCGTATGACTGGACTTCGTGCAAATCTGTCACTTCAGAAAAAGAAAGTCAGCTGGTTTATTTAATCTTTTGTACATCATTTCAATACAGCGATGTTCTGCTTGACAATATATTCCTGACCATTATGTAACCGCAGAAGGCAAGCCACAGAAGTTAACTTATATTTTCAAATGATCCAACCGCTATTTGTGTAGAGAGTTTATATTCTTCAAATAATCACTGAGCGTGTGATTTTGGCTTACACTAAACAACATGAAACAGAATTTTCAATATTCAAGTATTGGTTTGTAGGGATTTGATTGATTGGTTAAAGGATTTCATCATGACCTGACATCGGCTAAAGAACCACTGGAAAACCAGATGGGAGTACTGGACAG